AAAAGCCTATAACTGTAACATTAATAACTTCTGGATTAATTACTCATTGTAATGATATTTCGGATTACTTGGTTAAACAACATGTATTATGAAAATTAATTTCACCTGTTTGCTTTTAGTTTTTTTAATGAAGTTACTAGAAAGTGCAGAATTACCTATGTGGCTCATATTCAAGTTCTGTTGAAGAACATTACTTGATGTGACAAAGACAGCCACAGTCTAAAGAATTCTGCCACTCCCTCCCCTGGCCTGTCCCTCAGGGACAAGTGAGGCTTGCAGCCAGTCTCACTTGGGTGAAGGCCCTGTCCCACTATCTAAGAGGCAAGAGACTGTTCCCTACCACCTCTTTAGGTGACTTTTTGTTAAAGGATTCTCCTTTTTCTACATGTTATCCTTCCCATTTGTAATGAAACTTGTAAAACCCCCAGTTATGTGTCAGTGAATATATAAGAGCATGGTCTGTACGCACACGCACACTTCCGTACAGGACGTCATAAGGAAATACTGTGGAATTGTGTGCTTTCCCAGAACTCTGCTAGCTTGGGGGTGGGGCGTGCTTTCTTTCCACACAGGAAACCTCAAAGTGAAATGCTCTCTCCCAAACTCTATGACAAAGGGTGCCAACCAGAGGCAACCTCGCCATTTGCCGTTAAGAGGCTGCAGAAACAGAAATACTGAGAAGCAGAAAGTTCCTTGGAGGAATCTAGGTACCAACTTTCAGAGGAAATCTAAACAGTTCAGGACAGAAGAAAAAAAAAAAGGCAAGAAGCCTGGAGGCCCTCACACAGGGTTTGGCAAAATCCATTTAAACCAATCTGAATCAGGGACAGTTTGAATGATCTGAAAGCTGAAGCAGTTACTTGTACTAATGCAATAGGCTTTGCTCAGTGAAGTACTGCTGCCCAACTCAGCAGCCTGCCTGGCTCACAGGAATCACCAGGGCAGGGTTTCTCACTGGTAATGGTAATTCCTTGCAAATGAATGAATCAAAGGCCTTGTTCCTTCCTCGAAGTGTGATCCCTGGACTAGCAACATCAGCATCACCTGGAAGCTTACTATGCAAATTCTTGGGTCCTACCCCTGACCCAAGTAAAAAGATCCTTGTTACAACACAGTGAGATCCTTGTGTGATTCTTGTACACATTAAAGTTTGAGAAGTACCTGAAGTTTAACCTTCTGACTGTGTTCATTTGCTTAACAGATTGTTGTAAATAAAACAAGGGTAGCCTTCCTTCTGAGGTAGCTTCTCTGGAATTTGTCCCATTGGGGATCTTTCTGTTTTCCTTTGGTCTGTAGCTAATAATGCAAAATATGTTTTCATGTAAATCAGTGGTTCCAGGTGGTTCTTGGATAGTAGCCCTGTAGCAGGGTATAAAAAGCCAGCTATTTCTCTTATGAATTTCCAATTTAAGTATTCCCTGAGGCAAATAGCTTCAGATTAAGGGATGCAAATGATTTTAGGTAAAATAGATGAGTATCTATGCAACTATCATACAATTTCCAAGTCCCGTGTACATCAAAATAAGGGGGGGGGATGCCAAAATCAACTTTGTTTTCAAATGTTACACCCTGACACATAAAAAAGGGACTTTCACACCAAAACTGAAGAAAACAAATTAATCCACATACCTTTCATATTACTTAAAATTCTTGTACTGCCAAAAAAGTCCTGCTATATAAAAAACACCCCCATTATCCCTTAATTGTTTTCGTATCCTTCCAAGAGGTTATGTTACCACAGTGATTAGCTGATAAATCTCAATCTATTTACTCCAACCGAGGAGTGAAAGAAAACACACAGTGGGAATAGTGAGTATTTTGAAATAAGACATTCTTCAGTGGAATTATTTGCAAGACGGAAACATTCAGGTTCAAATATAAAGTCTCAAACTTGGCTTAGTCCTCCAAAGTATCAAAAGACAGCAATAATTCAGGAAAATAGTTCCAATGCCAACTTCAGCACAAAATACATAGTTACGTACTATATACGGACACATGACACCAAGCAGTTGGTGTCATTATGTAGCAGCAGTACGTAAAACTAACCATGCGAATTATCATAACTGACTTTTGTCCTCTTTTTGTCTTTAAATTCAGTATTTACTTGCCACCTGCATCCAAGCTGCTCATATATTTGTATCTGATTGACTATAATGGATTGTTATTAGTGAAGGGGAGCAAAAGATACCACCCCTAAAATACGCCTCTTTGGCATAGTGATTATTTTGAGCTGATTAGTTTGGAGCGGCTGCAGAGACAGGAGAAGCTCTGAAAACAGAGAAGTTAGCCTTTTGTGAGAGAAATGAACATTTGCAATGGGAATCTCCATTGTAACAGTCTCTCTCTCTCTCTCTCTCTCTCTCTCTCTCTCTCTCTCTCTCTCTCTCTCTCTCTCTACAGGAAGAGGAGGATGGCTAAATCTCTAAACTCTTATCTGTGGAGAAGGCAGGACTTAAACCTGCACAATAACCTTTCCCTTGCTTCCTGTGCCTTTCCTGGTCACCTCCCATAACTGCCCCTCCCACCCCAACATCTTTTTTTGTCTTTACCTGGGGATAGCATTTAAGGTGGCGGCTTGGGCTATTTCAAGGAATTACTCAACCTTCCTGGGTCTCTCCCATGTACACGGGAGGTATACATTTTACTAAACTTGTTTGTTTTTCTCTTGCCAATCTGTCTTTGATTGTAGGGGATCTTAGCCAAGAACCTAGAAGGATAGAGGGAGAATTATATTTTCTTCCCCTACATTAGTTAATCACGCCTAGATAATTTGCTTCATGCCATTTGTAAAATATAATTCTTCATAGAGAAAGTGCACACCAAAGAAAAAACCTGGCTAAATCCAAATTTCTAATTCAAAATACACACCCTCCTCCAATGCAGCTGAAACAGATGAAGGAAAAAAACACTGCCAAGGTAAGGAAATGGGGACAACTGTAAGTGAACAACAATAAAAATGAACAATTAAGAAGGAAAATCATGACCTTCAAACTCACCTAGACCTTTGCTGCCTCCAGGCAGCCATACTCTATTGCCTCAGCTTCCTCATTCTCCCACTCCCCTCCACGAGTAGTTCACACCTTCTCCTGTCCCGTCTGACCTTCATCCCTGACCTCTGTCCCGAACTTAAGATTCATATACCCTGCTGTCTCCTTGACATCTCCAGCCAGAAGTCTGATAATATCTCAACTTTGACATGGTCAGAACTAAACTCCCGATCTTCTCCTCCAGACCAGGTCTTCGCACAGTATTCCCCTTATCCGTTAACAACTGCATACTCCCATTTAATCAGACTCAAAGCTCTTACTCTCGCAACTGTCATTCAATGTACCAGCAACTGATTCTCCACTTCTGAATGCAGTCAAAATCCACCCCCTTCTCACAACTTCTGTGGCCACCACCTGGTTCAAGACACCATCCTCTTTGGCCTGGTCCCTCTAATAGTCTCCTAATTGCTCCCTGCTTCTATCCTAGACGCTCTATAGCACAGGTGGCAAACACAAGGCCTGCGGGCCAAATCCAGCCCTCCACCTTGTTTTATCCCTCCCAGCACCTTGTTTCTATCCAGCGGCAGCACCGAGCTCCTTGCCCCTAGTTAAGGAGTAGTTACATGTATACAGTCCTAAAGTTACATTCGGCCCTTTGCAGGCAACCACGAGGCTGATGTGGCCCCCGGTGAAAATGAGTTTGACCCCCCTGCCCTGTAATCTCTTTTCAACAAAACAGCCAGGGTGATCTCTCAACATAAGGGAGGTCACATCAGGCCTCTTCTCAAAAGCCTGCATTACATCCCCACTTCACTCAGGGTAAAAGCCAACATTTTTATGATGGCCTACAGGCCTTAGAAAGTGCCACCATCCCTATCATTGCTCTGACCTCACGGCCTACTTCTCCCACCCTCGTTCACCCCACTCCAGCCCTGTGGACCTCCCTGCAATTTCTGGAGCACTCCAGGCACTGCCTTATGGCTTTTGCTGTTCCTTCTGCCTAGAACACTCTTCCCCCAGATAGCTGCCATGTCTAATTTTCTCACTTCCTTTAAATCTCTGCCCAATGTCACCTTCATAGTGAGGCTTGCCTTGACCGTCTTATTTAACCCTACAACCCACTCCCCACATCCACACCTTGCAGCGTGCCTGGTTCTTCTTTACCCCAACTCCTTTCTTTTTTCCAGAGTCCTTGTCATTTTCCAACACACTTGTTAATTTAGGCATTGTGTTTTCTATTGTCTGTGCCCCGCCCCCCGCCATTTGGATGTCAACTCAAGGAGGCCAGGAAGCTTTGTCTGTTTTGTTTTCTTATGTATCCCATGGCCTAGAACAGTGTTTGGTGTGTAATAGGTGTTCAACAAATATTTGTTGACTAAATGAATGAAACTAAACCTCAGCTCTTATCAGATGTATCTGGCCGGGCCAAATAGCCAGGGACCAAGGTACCCGGAAGTTCATTATACTGTTCTTCCCACTTTCGTATGTTCATATGTTTAGAAATTTCCAAAATAAATGGGTTTAAGTTTGTAAAAAAGTACATATGCAAAGTGTTTTCTGTGAGAGAAGTGTCATACTCCTTTAGTTTTTAGAAAATAGCATAAGAAGAGAAGAATAAAAGACGTGCATCTTATTTCTATTTCTGAGCCACTTAATAACTTAAATATATTACAAATCATTCCATTTCTGGGGCTCCAGCTTCCTCATTTCTAAAACAGAGAGGCCTGACTAGAAAACCTCTACCTTTTGTAATTACAGCAGCTCAAATATCCAATCAAAACTGATCCAGTCCCCTTTTTTCCTAAGCATGGACCTCACACATTAATTTCTATAGCAGAAATTCTGACTATGGCATGATTTCATGCTTTTCTCACTTCTAAATTTCCTTAATTTTCAGGACTACATTCTATGTTTGAGTTTTCAGTTAACATGAAACCGAGAGTGGCCTGCGGACCATATCCGTGTCAGAGCCCGTCAGCTGCCTTCGGTTTTAGGTTGGGGAGAAGCACTTACCATCTCCTTCTTATCTTCCTGGAAGTGCACATCCACAAACATTTTTCCAGCAACATAAGGGAGGGCGCTTTCGATAAAGTTTACACATTTGTCCCACTGAGGCAACAAAGTCGTGGTCCCCTGGATTACCTGTAGGAGATCATTGATCCAGGTTTAGTTTCACTTGGATCAAATCTATGGCAGAAACAAATTCAACAACCTGAAGAAAACAGTCTGTGAAACACCGCACACTCCGACCCACACACATGTGTCTGATAGTAAAGCCAAAGGTGTAATCAGATGAAAACCATTCTGCTTGTCCCCAGTTATATTAAAAAGTAAATGAAAACCTTTTGACAGTAGAAAATAAGGTATTTCTCCTTTCCTTCCACTTTTCCCCAATAAACAAAGGATTTAGGCAATAGCACAGCTTTTCTGCAGTTTATAAGGATATAAGGAGATGCTTTCCAAATGGCCGGCTACTGTTTAATATCTACTGAGAACTGAGGTTACGCCAAGGAAGGTCTGGAGTCGATTGGTGGTCAAGGTTCCTGCCCAGCGAGGGTTTCCTTGCTCCAGGTAGTACGCTCACAAGGCAGGCCAGGAGCACACGGCCCACCGTGAACAACCCAGGAGCGTATTTACATTGTGTTCCAAAGAACACACTGGTAACCAAGTAAAAACCAGATGTAAATGTTTCTCTCATCTGTCCCAATTAAATCATCGTAAGAAAACATTTACAAACAAGTAAAGAGGTTCCCAAGCAGGACTTGCAAGGCTCAAAGGTTTACTCTTGGGGATGAAAGCAGAGAAACAAATATTATGTGGTTGCACTGGGAGGTGGGGAGTTCAGAGCACTCACAATGCGAAGCGAAGGCCGGCAGTGAGGAAGGCAGGCCCTGAGCCTGGTGGCTGGAGGTGTCCCTTGAACAATGTTAGACCCAGGCTGTTGCAACATGGTGAATGGGATTAACAATGAAGTTCATCTATTCTTTCTCTACTCTCTAGTAACGCAATCCCTCTCAGAGATAAGGAATGAATCTATTTTTAAAGCCTCTAGAGAAAGAGGCCCTATAACTTTCTTGTGCAGGTCAATATTATATTTAGCACTTAACATTCAAAAAACATCCCCTCGTACCTAACCTCAAAATTTTCACACTCTACTTTGTACACCTCTCTCTCTGATTATGCTCACAGTGGGGGTGAAAAGCAACTGTGTGCCATATTTTATGTGAACCATAGGGAATGGATGTGTGTGTGTGTATGTATATGCACATGCATAGGAGGAGTTTACATATATATACATATATACATATATATACACATACATATATATGTAAAATCTACTTGCCTTTGTAGCTTAACCCTTTGATATGACCTCAATATGCACAGTTGTTTTCTGCTATTCTATATAAAACTCATGACTTTATATAGCGACTTTAAAAGGCCAAAATGTATTCAAAATCACTGTGTTACTACTCAAGAATAACGATCCACTAAGAATTTCTGTACTTACCAGTATCTGTAGTAACTAAAACAGCTGTTAAATGAAATCATAGCTTATAAAATTCATCACTCTCTTAATTTCAAATTTAGAGAAGAATAAAACATTGTTTAAAGTCACTAAATTCTTAAAATGCTCATTTTTTTTAAAAAGCCACAAAATCCTGAAGTCCTCTCGTGGTGGGAGAATTATTCAGACAAAAGCTTCTGAAACAAAGACAAGCGGTAAAACCTCTGTAAGATCAGGATAAAAGTGGGACAGAAGCAAAGATCAAAGTGCCAACTGAAGGAGGGGGAGGAGAAGAGTGTTTCAGACAGTTGAAGGAGGTCTCCAAGGAGTCTGGAGTTAGGCTTCTCCCGTTGAGCAGAGTTAGGATAGGTTCGGAGATTGGAAAGATCAAGGTAAAGTTAAAGACAAAAATTGATCCCTAAATTAAAGATGAAACTTTACCATCTAATACATAGAGCGTGCACATTTTGAATATTCAGAATGCTAAAATGAAAGATAGTTAAAAATGCATCACTAAGAAATATTAGAACTGTAATTACAGTGGCCCAGTTAAAAACAGTGGCAGAAAAGGGGAAGCAGCTGATGAAAGTTGGGGAGTGAAGACAGCGTGATGGTCCCAAGCACTGCCCTACGTGTCTTCATACAGCCCCATCAAAGCAGGGTGCGAGCGTACCTTGCTGTATGTAAGGTTCACCTCAATAAAAAGAAATAAAGCAAAAAAAAAAAGTAGAAATTGGCGAGCAAAACTCCCTCTGTCCAATGCTAAAGATGAGTTTTACTGGATTAGTTAACATGTGGACTATTCCTACGTGTAAAGTTAGCCAGCGAGGTAACATTGCAGTATTTTTAAAGCTTACCCTTGAGAATTCCAGCCACCTATACTGAAAGCGCCTGCTAAGGTTTGGAATTCTGGAATAAACCATCCTCCACACCAAATAGTTGGCAATAGTCCTGTTGACAGAGAGAGATGCACATTTGTTATACTTAGGTTGCTATCTGATGCTCTGCAGAACACCATGGGGAAAGCTGTTGGCAAAGCTCCATGGAGGGACTTCTGGCTTATAAAAAACTGCATGACTTTCACTTGAAAAATGGCGTAGGATGATAAAATGCCAATAAGCTCAACCAAAAATGGCCTGCTTTTCACCACCTACTAGAAAAAGAGGAAATGAATATTCCATCTCCAGGCCTCCCTGGAACGTTCCGCTTTTCCTCTCAGGGCATGGAGTCCACTATTGCCCAGCCTTTCATGTCTAGAAATTGGCCACACCCACACTGTTGAATTGTTAGGTGACTTAATAAAAATGCAGATGAATTCTTATCTTTGGAAGCAAACAGCAATATACTGGCGAATACCAATTACCTAGATTGGCGCCCCGGTTCTGTACTCATGACATGTGAATTTGGGCAAATTGCTAAAGCTCACTGATTGCACCATTACTTGTCATACAATGCAAATGACCCCTACCTTCCAGGGTTCTTGTGAGATTCATATAAGTAAGAAAATGCTTCACGAAGAGTAAATTCCAGATTTCTACTGTTTCTGTCCACTTCCAAACATAAACACCATATGCTCATGTAATATCCATAATACATATTGTAAAAATCCATTACACTTTGTTAAGTGTTGGCTTTTTCTATAAGAAAAAGATGCCTTGACCTCAGAAGGATGCGTGATCTGCGTTAATTTCTAACTCAACAGTGATGATGAATTTTTAATGACCCATCTCCTCCCAGCTGTGCCATTATTGCGGTGACTAATGACACACATTCCTGCAACGGCTCCTGAGTCAGCCAGCCGTGTGAGAGCGGCGTGACGTGATGAGGGCAAGGGCTCCATGAAGAACAACTCTCACGTGTACTAGACCTACTGGGTGATCGCTCCCTAAGTTATGTGTCTAGCCACAATTTTGGATGTCTGAAACTAACATAATAGTGTGTGCCAACTGCAACTGAACTATTTAAAATATTTTTTAAAAAAGAATACTCATTTGCATGGCACTGAGTAAACTTACCCATTTGAGTTGAACCCAGTAGATGTGCACTCCTAGCACTAACATATTTTTCAACATATACACACAACGTGTGTTTTATTTCCATGTATGTAAACTAATATTAGAAATGTTTTGACAACTGTAGAAATAGAAATTTCAAAAGATAAAATGAAGCCCTGGCTGGCATAGCTCAGTGGACTGAGCTCGGGCTGCGAACCAAACTGTTGCAGGTTCAATTCCCAGCCAGGGCACATGCCTGGGTTGCAGGCCATGACCCCCAGCAACCGCACGTTGATGTTTCTCTCTCTCTCTCTTTCTCCCTCCCTTCCCTCTCTAAAAAAATAAATAAATAAAATCTTTTTTAAAAAGATTACTTTCACAGTGTAGGGCTCATGAGAAGCTCCCCCCTCCCTTGGAAAAAAAAGATAAAATGACATAAAGATATTTTCAAAAATCATTACTTAAACGTTTAAGTATCATTAGTTAATCCTTGAAGAAGCATTATCCACATAGGGTATTACAGCAATGACGGGGGGCGCAAATCAACATTTCACAGAGTTTCCTTGGCCACTTCAAAATATCTGGAACCATACCCTCGTCAGATCTGGCTATACCACTACTGTCTTTACCTCGTCACCGGTCCAGCCAAGACAGCACACTAGCATTGGAAAAGGGCCACTTCTGCCAATCTCTTGCCATCCACTTGTGCTTACTTTACTAGCAGTAAGCTTCAATTCGTGTTTCTGTGCAATAATTTTAAAAGCCATGCGTCCATTTTTTAAAGAGTAAAGTACATAACAAAATTCATTTCTCTATAAGTGTATATGTGAACAGTTCAAGATTATTTTCAACAGAGCTAATGAAAACAAATGGCCAAGGGTGGCAATGTCCCTCCCACCCCCATGCTCATGTGTCCCAAGCAATGCAGCAGGGCCAATAGCCATCCATATAGAACTCTATAAAACCTAATATTTTCTCAATAAAAATAAAGACACAGAAATGTTAACATTTTCTTCTTGAATTCGGTGGGTATTGCTGGGAAATGTGCACTCACCCACAGAGACCACTGCTCTTATCAGTAAAGTCTAGCCCTAATTCATGCTGTGTTGAGGCTACTGTGATAAACACATAGTTTTACATCATTCCCTTGGATCTTCTGAGTTCACGTCGCCACTCATGAGCAAGACAAGAACTGCCCACTGAGCATTTACTGTTGCCCACGTATTGTTCCAGGTGCCATGAGGAATGTAAAGAAACAGGTACCGGGGGCTGACATTCATAGACCTGAGAGTCTGGTTAGGAGACACAGGACGTCAGATTTCAGCCTATTCAGAGAACCAGGTTTCTGAATCGAAGGCACGCATAGTAACTACATATGACATCCTCCCGTCACTTGAGCAGCACACCTGGAGCACCTAGGTATGTACTAATAGTTCTGGGCACTAGGGAGATGGAAAGGTGAGACAGATATAGTCCCTGGTCTCCTGAAGCTTGTGGCTGAGCAGGGAAAATGGAGCAAGTGCATCAATAATGATTTGCCAGACCCTAGCACCAAAAAGTGCCTGCCAGACACTTCAGCAGAAGGAGCACACAGCTCAAACTGAGGGATGAGAGAACTTCATGAGAGGGGCATGAGCTACGGCCAAAGGGTGGGAGGCTTGGGGGTATGAAGCAAGAACATGAACTGTGGACAAGCTAAATAATGAAGGACAGCTTATGTGTTGGCGGAGATTGTGAGCAGGGTCATCACTCTCAGAGCCAAACAGCCACTAGTGTAGAGAATGTCAGTCAGCAGGGGAGAGGCTGGACCTAACACAAGGTATGTGCGTTCTTCAAACTTAAAATCCTGCTTGCTGGGTGTGAGAGCTATGCTGGATCCATAGGTGTGGATTAGAAGGTCCGTGGCCACCAGCTGTATTACGTGAATTCAAAAGATATTCCCTCAAGGGGGCAGTGATGAGCCAGATTAACTGGGAACATTGTTAGGATGGGGCCTGATGGTGGTAGAAAAGGGCCTGGTGGTGGAAGCTTACTGGAGTTTAAGAAGTGTAAGCCTCTCCAACTCCCTTGAAATCACACCATGTTGGCATTATCTAGAACCCCCCACAGCACCGCTATAGGAGAGATGTTATTGTGCCCATTTTAAAACCAACGAAACTTGAGGCCTAGAACAATTAAGTAACTCCTCATGATTATATAGTCAGTGGGTCTCCAACTTAGTAAAATCACCTGGGGAGTTTTAAAAGTCCCCATGTTCAGGTCCCTTCACCCCAATTACACGAAAATCTCTAGGGTGTAAACCCAGCATGCATAGTGTTTTCTTAATCCCAATGACCAGCCAAGCTGGAGAACCAGTGTAATAAGCGATGGGAGCTCGATCAGATCCAGGCATGTCTAACTCTAAGTCTGTGTGCTATTCCCCGTTCTACACAGTGATGCACAAATCCCCATAATTCAGCACCAATTTCCAGACCGATCATGGAGACCCGAAAATACTCTGACAAAGTCACTTAGCGGAAATCTGTAGGTACAAAGAAAGAACAGCGTGTGAGGACTTCATGGGCAAGGCATTACTAAGATGTCAGCATTACAGGACCTCAGAGAGCCGGGAGATGGACCGCAGGAAAACACACGCAGTCAGACAATGGCACTGAAGAGCTGCTCCGCTGTGTGATACATACCCTGATGGAACTCGGGGAGCACACAGCTTGAGAGTGCTAATATTACCACACCAGGAGCAGATCTGACCATAATGACTGGATTGCTACTACCTAATGCTCAGACACACCAAAAAAAAAAAAACCAAACCACTCACATTCAGCAACAGTCCTTGAAAATAACAAATACTATCTTTTTTCCAAAAAGCATTTTCAGCAGTATGGTAATTTCCCCCAAATAACAATAAATAAAGCAGAGGAAGGCAAAGCATCAGAAGAGAACTCACTACTATGAGAGCAACATGAAATCATTTCTGAAAGCCTCTGACTGGGAAGCTTGTTTTTAAAGAAGCTTTTGCTGCCCTTTGTTCTCAGTTAGTGGCAGCTTACACTTGCATTGCATTTGAGGATCATACAGTATCTTTAATGACGCTCATGGCACTGCTATGGGTAGTTATTATCATCTCCATTTTCAGATGGAAAAACAAAGGTCAGAGGTCAAGGGATGTCCAAGGATGTGTCAAATCCAGGACTAACGTTTAAGCCTTCACATCCCAGAGCTTGCATTTGCTCCTCTGGGTCATACTACTTCAGGTAAGCCAAACGATTTCTTCTCAAAACCCCTCAAAGCCAAAGGAATCTTCCTAAATCCTAAAGGCTACTCAGAGCTATGCCTAGGACTGGTTCCAAAATTGTGTCCCCAGACCAGCAACTTCAACATCACCTGAGAACTTGTTAGAAAATTCCTGGGCCTCGCCCCAGACCTGCTGAATCAGAAACCGTGGAGGTGGGGCTCAGCAGTATAAGAAGCCCTCCATGGGATTCTGATGCTTGTCAGGTTTGAGAACCTCTGGTCTCAGAAAACTCCATCTTCTCATCTTTCTGCACACACATAAAGTAGGACTTTCTAAAACCCAGATCAGTGCTTCTTATACTTTATAAATCCCCTGGGGAGCTCTTTAAGTTGTAGATTCTGATTCAGTGAGTGTGGGGCAGAGCCTGAGGTTCTTCTCCTACAAGGCTCTCATGCAAAGGCTACACTGCTCTCCCTGGGCCATGCATTGAATAGCCAGGCCCTTGGTCACCCTCAGCATTGCTGAGTCCTGTTAAGAGGTCCACACAACAGCACACTTTCCAGGTAGCCTCTAGAAACATCTGTCCAACAAGAGTCATCTCACTTTAATGTACACTGTGCTTCTTTTATATGAAAATGAAACTGAAGACAAAAGGGATCACAGAGGCTTGGCAAAATCTCCAAGGTGTTGTTTTAGGTCAGCCTGCTAAACACACCCATACACACACAATTCTGATGCAGATGAACTCCAATAGGCTAGGCCACGCCTTGCCGGGAAGAAAAATCTCTTTGACTCCATCTTTCCTCAGCCTCTCACCTCCCATTCTTGTTCCTCAGAACAAATTAGGTGGTATTGAGTTGGCCAAAAAGTCCGTTTGCTTTTTTCCACAAGATGGTTATAGTAGGCCTTAGTCATCTTTAACTTCATTGGAAACAATTTTGTTAGATTGTATTGTGACAGCTGTCATATCGGCCTGCATTTAAAAAAATTATCAAAATTGGTGAATTTTTGTGAAGCTATTTTAATGGTAAAGATGGCAGAAAATAAGTAACATTTCTGGCATAGTATGCTTTATTATTTCAAGAAAGATAAAAATGCAACTGAAATACAAAAAGGATTTGTACAGTGTATAGAGAAGGTGCTGTGACTGACTGAACGTGTCAAGAGTGGTTTCAGAAGTTTAGTGGCGGAGATTTCTCACTGGATGATGCTCCACTGTTGGGCAGACCAGTTGAAGTTGACAGTGATCGAATCAAGACATTAATTGAGAATAATCAATGTTAAACCATGTGAGAGACAGCCAACATACTCAAAATATCCAAATCAATCAAGTTATTGGTGAAAATAAAAAAAACATGTCTTTTCTTGGATGAGAAAAACTAAGCCAGCTCAATACTTCATCAACTTCCATGGAGGAAAGGCCTTGGAATCTGCATTTTACCATGGGCAGTTGGTCCGTGACGTGCAGTTTGATTATCATGGCTCTACTCCACACAAACACTATCTACCTCTAGATTCAATTTTCACTTACAGAATTTTAAAAGAATCACTGCTTATCTTCGGTAAAATTTTAAGTGAGTTTATTCTTCCCTCTCTCCCTTCTCTGTATGTATACTGCTCTGTAAGCTTTCCTCAATGAACACATAAGTGCTTTTTCCATACGAAGATATCATCTTAAAAAGAACAGCAGCTCCTCACAGGTCTGTGTCTGGGTAGGTGGGGAGGAATGATAAATTGTATTCTTAGGACTTTCACAGGTGCCTTTGTTGAAAACATCACTCCTAGCAACATAGCCTTGGCCAAGTCCAAATAAGAAAATATGGTGTTTAATCATGGCCTGGTGATTAGCCTTTGTCTTTGTAAACTAGCTGACCTTTCTGTGCTTCGTTTCCTGTAGTCACAACCTAAAGGGCTTTACATGAAGATGTCAAATTCTCTTTCCTGGTCATTTTTAGGATTTCCTTGTTCTGTAGTGCCAAAGTAGCACAGCAACAGATCCTAAAACATTCTCTCAAATTAAAAAAAAAACAAAAAAAACCCTGTCAGTTCCTGAAGTTGTTTCACCAGTGCAATTTCTCTACAGCTCTCGGAGTGATCTTACATCTTTTCAATATAGGTACTTCACTTTATTGCCACAAAGTGACTTACTGGCTAAAAAGAAACCAGGAAAAAGAGCAGCAAAAGACCTAGAAAAAACTAGGGGGAAAAAGATGTTTATATAGAAGCCTCAGAAAACAACATCATTATATAACTATTTCCCAAAACTAACAACTTAGGTTTTCAGAGGGAAAATATGGAGAAAAACCAGAAATAAGGGCAAAACCCTTGCGCATGTGCTGTTATTGCAGTAAGCACATTATAGCAGACAATGGTTTGGGCCGATTTGTCACAAACAGCACCATGATTTTCCCCAATGCTCTTCTGATGTAACTTGCATTAAAAATAGTTTCCAAAAGACATGAGAGGGGAGGCCTTATAATTTAAAAGGAACAACAAAAGTCACAGCAAAATACACAGGGAAGCTCTTACTTCTTCCTCTCAGAGCCTAATATCCTAAACAGGTCCTTAAAGTACTGAGGGACGCGGACGACCACATTCTCTGAGGGGCCGATGTCTTTCAGGTCAGGGTAGAGTCTAACATCAATGACCTTCTTGATGTAGCCGAGCCAGTCAAACTGCAGAGAACAAGAACAAAAAGCAGAGTGAAAGTTCCTCTTGTTACGTGGCAAGCAAGGCAAGCAAGGTAAGTATACAGTCAGTGAAACATAATCCATTGCTTGTGATTTCAAACCAAATAATTAAGGATGCAACTGCTCAAACCTATACAGTAAATGCCCGATCGCTGCCACCCAGACCTACTGCTGGCCTCATAGTTGGAACATGTGTTCTGTACCATCTGCGTGTGGACACTCACCTGGTAATATGCACACTGACTCTGCGAGCCCCCCCAGCACTCTCTCACCCTCCTTCCTCAACTCTCCTCTCCTTCATTCTCTCTCCCCTCCACTCCATGCTCTCCCTCTGTCCCCTCCTTCTCTCCTGCATTCTCCCTCCTGTCCCCCCTGCACTCTCCCTGGCCCCCATGTTCAGTCACTGCCTACTTCACACAGACACAGATGCCCGAGGACATTACTGGTTTTCCCTCTGGCACAGCCTTTCTTACACAGGGGAAACAAGCTGCAACGAAAAATAATGTGTCCCCTCTTCAGAGCATCATTATCTTCTTGTTTTCATTGGCTCCCCCAAAAGTCATTTCCAACCTCCTTTTGTTCTCCCTTGCCTGCCTCCACTATTGGAATGGAAAACCGGTTACTCGCTGGCCCAGCCTTCCCTGTAGTCAGGGATGGCCATGTGCCCCTATTCTATTCAATAAGAAATAAAAGGAAGACATCTGAGAATATTCTAGAAGGGCCATCACTGAGCCTTCCCCATTCTCCCTGCCCTACTGGCAGGTGAAATATATGGACCTGTGGCAGGCACACTGCCAGCCTGAGTCTTCGAACATGAAGTCAAACAGCCAACACACTAAAGAGAGGAGAGCGGAAATAAACAACTTGGGTCTTTGACAACATTGTTAAACAGTTAAAGCAACAGCAATCTCCACCTATGTCTGGACTTTGGTCATATAACAGAATGGGCTGTGAGTTTTTAAGCCATCTTGGAAGGTTTTCTGTCCCTCATAGCAGAAAGCATCATGACACACAGACAACAGATATTTTATACGATAATGGACAAAGATGATGATAACTGACAGGATGGATAGTAGGTTTTACAAGGCAGAAATTTACACACAGATGAAATACAATCACTTGTAAAAAAAAATCCGTGGATGATTTTTACCAACCTGGGGAATCATAGCACTCAGTTCAGAAATGTTCATTTTGTTGTACATCGCTTCACTGGTTCGGTTTTCATGTGGAATCATTATCTGTTGGAAGGAGACTTTGGTTACTTTTTCAAAGGAACCATTTCTTACTGCACAACACTTTCTACACCACATGTACCCAAGCATCTGCATGGTGTCATACAGTTTTTCAAGAGTTTGCTGTGGTGCTGAACTTGGGAGAGGAAAAAAAGACATCGGTTTAGGCAAAATTAAGATTAAGAAAAGAAAAAGAAACTCCTCTGTCCTGTTCACTGTGAAACGTTTTCCTCAGCACAAAAGTAACTACCCAGAATCCTTTCCTCATTTACACTGTGGATGGATAACATCTATTATTGGCCCAGTTTTGGCAGGCAAACTGAGGTTAGTCAATTGAGACAAACCTCCCACCTTCGCCTGTGGTGTCCAGATAATGACCTCAGTGTTTCATGAACCACGGCCGATCCTTCATCCCCGGGGCCACATCTTCACTGAAGAACACTAGCCTATCTGGACACCACTGCCACCTGCGACCATTCTGTCAACAGACCATTCTCTCACTTCCCATCCTCCCTCCGCTTTCTCTGGCCTTGAGAGTCCCCTGGCCTCACCACTGGGGGCATGGGTTGAGTGACCATCCAGACACACAGTTCCAAGTCTGCATTTCCAGCCCTTACTCTCCACACTCTTTCCATTCCCAATATGCCTGCCATTGGCCATCTTGCCAACACCAAAACAAATGGAAGCTTCTAGCCTCTGTCACGTTGAATCTAATGTAGGAATGGCAGAAATGATCTTCTTTCTCATGGGCCACCCTAATCACTTCCACAGACAGGCTTTATTAGCTCCCCATACATAGCCCTGAATCACATCATCTGATTCTCTTGCATTAAACTTGCCACCTACCACTTCCCACAGGACTGTCCTACCCTTGCGCCCTCATCCACCATCACCACACCCAGGGTTTGAACTATGATTAAAGACAAGGTTCATTTCCTCTGTCAAGCCTTTTCATTAAACTCCACTTGGCTCCAATCACAAGGGCTACTCTGTCAATAAGACGCCCCCCGGTGCACACATCTCTCTAGCTGGGACTGGTTAAATGCTTCCATGGCTGGATCTACAATGACTTAATTTGTGCTGAGCTAGGCTGCCCTGCCTCCCCAGGGAAGCTTTAGAAGTTTCCGTAGGACTATGTGCCATTTTGAATGGCCCCGGTGACCCAGGGTGTAACAGAGGTGAGCGTTACTAACAGGCCAAAAATTCACGTACCATGGATTTTCGAGGCAAACTCACACAGGGCTGAGTGGCAGACATCTGCCCGCTCTTTTTCTAAATGCTTCAGTGCCCTTAGCTTCTCCCCCCTCGCCCTCCACCCCTGCATCTTACAAACATCTTCTTGGCTTTGTTTGAATCATTGCCTCAGAGACTGTCCACTCCTCCCTCTACTCAGGCTCGCAGCCCCAGGTTGGAGCCCTTTGGCCTCAAAGCTGTTTTCAGCTCTCTGCCAGCTGCTTCCCCCCACCCCGTGGATTTGTCACTTCATTTAGCCTCTTGACAATTCCAGTCTTGCCTCAGCCCAGCTGTGTTTAGTTCCCTTTTTGGTCTAAATCCCAGGCTCATGGCAAGGCCTTCCCCGATGCATCAGAGCTTCGGTCCGAATCAGAGCTCTGGGTCTCCTCTGTGCCTATGAAGGGTATAGAGACAGCCTTCACACACGGCTTAAGAGGCATAGACTTTGAGTCCAGAACATCTGCAGTGGTCTTCACAGTCTTCAAAGGTGACATGCAGGAATACGCTTTTTGTGCTGCAAGTAAAACTTTGGAGAGAGGTACATGCATACATCACTGCTACTGAGGGAGAGACGAATTCCTCCTCGTTCTTATCCATCACTCCAACTCCGCACTGCAACACCCCACCACCACTTCACCAAACACGAAACCAGGCAACACTGGGACTCGCAGGCACTTTAGGATTTTTACCAACTTCTTAGAGAACACTACCAACCCATATACAAGTGTTTCTTGACAAAAGTTCTTTTTCTTTTCACTACAAGGTACCCCAACAAGCAGATCTCACTATATTTGTTCTCTCTGGACCTGGGAATGTGTAGGGATTTTGTACTTTGGTTATTCTAGAAAAAAAAGTTATTCTATAAACAAAGCAAACCATTTAGGATCTGTCGTTCTCCCTCAACATTGTTCTCATATCTTTTTATCTCCACCATTTAGCCTGAAAGAACTTAAGGTGACTTACACAGAACATAGTATAAGACAAAATGACATTCATTAAAGTGGGGCAAAAAAAAATTAAAAACAGGGCTGGGTACAAAGTAGCACCAGAAAGGCAGGTAAAAATGCTCACCAGCATGCCCCCTATACACCTTCTACATCTAACTGTGTATACAGTGCGGGAGGACAGACTTCCTGAGGTCTGCATCTTAGGTCAGACTGACCCTGAGTGGGAATGGGGAGCAGGGGTGTCCAACCTGTGGCCCCCGGACCACTTGAGCCCAGGATGGCTATAAATGCAGCTCAACATGAAATTATAAATGTACTTAAAACCATTTTATTTTATTTTATTTTATTCATCAGTTTTCATTAGTGTTTGTGTATTGAATGCGTGGCCCAAGACAACTGTTCTTCCAGTGTGGCCCAGAGACACCAAAAGGTTGGACACCCCTGGAAAGAGTAGATTAGATTAAAAATTACCTTCCACTCAAACCAAATCAATAAGGATAAGGATTTATTAAATACAAGGGGGGGACCCAAGAAAACTGGAATTTATTTATTCAAAATTGTATGTTTCTTCTTACATGTTTAAACTTCCATCACCTTCAAAGTACTCTCCATTTGATACAATACACCTATTGAGACGTTTTTCCCACTGCTCAAAACAGCTTTTGAACTAGTCCATTTTGATGCCTTTTAGTGTTCCTGCCGTTTTTTGTTTCCCCTCTTCCACATCGGCAAAATGTTTCCTTTTGAGGACTTTTTTCATCCAGGGAAACAAAAAGAAGCCTCTTTAGGAGAGAATGGGTTAATAGGGAGGGTAGGGCAGAGGGCTCATACCGTTTTTAGTCAAAAACTGCTGAACACTCAGTGCGCTGTGGGCAGGTGTGTTCATAAATCACCCATCGTAAAATGGGCAAACGTGTTGAGTCTTCAAAAAAATTCACTGAAGCCAAACACAGCCTCTCACAACAATACCAGCTGGTACACCAATTCAGACAGGTTCCTGGGACACTCACCTAGTGGGGAAAGCCTGTACTATAAGGGGCCCACCCTCCAGGAGACAATTTTGGGTTTTTATGCAGGGTGCCCCCTCATATCTATTCTTCTATTGGAGCCACATAGGAATTTCTCTTGGAAAACACAGTCAGAGGGTCTTTGGCCATAGCTGAGCAGTATAAGGACACTGAATGGGCTTCAAGTGAGAAGGCCAGAGGAATAAAGAGCTCTTCTTTCTGTCATGGTTCTTCTTCCTGTTACTTTCCTGAGTTCTACATTGGACCCAAAGGACAATGTCACAGAATGCCATTTTATATAGATTTTTTCATTCAGGATATATATTGCCTTTAAAATAAGAAAAAGAAAAAATAGGTTTTATATGGTCTTACCTCAGCTATCTTAATTTCTAATCTAAGCACCGACTTCATGTCATGCTCTGCTCGGGAGCTATTAGCTCCCAGAAGTACGGCAGTATCCACCATGAACTTGTAAAGGGCATCCCGATACTGTAAGAGATAAAGAAGCAAGTGACCATGACAACAATCTATTAGGAAATACGTTTCAGGGACAGAGGGAAGCAGAGACAGCAGGTGGAAATACATGCCCTTTACCTTCACCTGTACTCAACGTATGGTACAAGCATGACGTCACACCAACCACCCACGCACCACTTTAGGAGAAAGAGGAGTGATAGCTACTTGGATACTGTTTCCATGACAGACAGAGATGTCCAGCCACCAAGAATCAAGAGAACTAGTTTTGTGGCAACCGACAATATTATGGATATGTGAAACATCTCCACACGCGCTCAGAATAGAAAGTTAAAGGTCAGGTTCCTCTTCCCAGGCAAGAGAGGCTTTAGTAAAATAATTGGAAAGAGCTGTCGCTAAAAGCAGGCAGCATGACTAAAAAATAAAAGACCAGCAACTGCAGCCTTATGTCTTTTCAGTGCTGTGTAGTTTTTACAAAGTTCTCCTCGCCACCTCAGGGAAAAAAGGAGGGAGAGATGAGAGAATGATGAAGTGAAACTGAGATAGCAAATATAGAATTTCCTCCTTGCATGTCCATAAGCCCATTTTCATGACATTCATGTCATTGGAGGGGAGAGCTTTATTTTGTGGGAAGTGAGGAAACTCATTGGCAGTCACCTCTCCTTTCAGATATACTTGTAAGAACTCAATATACCAGGTATTAAACAACCTCAGCTATAGGACTAGGATTTCCTGACACATACCTTGATTCTGTAGGCTATGCTGACTGTGTTAATGACCTTGGAATGTATACTGTGTTTGGCATATAGCAGGCCCTTAAAAAATACTTGTTGAATCAGTGAGCAAGCTTTGCAAATACACATAATTAGAAACAATGCTTCACAATTCCCAGTTAGATTTAAAGAATATTTAATAAATCAATACATGTGCAAGATGTCTTGCTAGGCATTATGTGCATTTGGGAGAGGGGGTACAGATGGAAAATTAAATAATGCTTAAGTCTGATTTCCCAGTGTGTGATCTGGTTCTCAGTGTGTGAGGGAGATAAACATGTAATTACTAACTGTAACATTAGAGATACCAAAATAATTTCCTTAATAAAGCTGCTAAGTGCTTGAAAACTCAAGAGCTGGAGAAGAATTACAGCCTGGAGAAATTGGGGACCCAGTGTTTGCAGAAGACAGGTTCAGGAGCAGTGAGGAGACCTCCTGTGAGGGGTATGAACTGCCTTTGTTAGGGGAAGAATAAATAAATACATGACACAGCAAAGGTGGTTTGGGAGCAGGTCACAAAGAGGCCCTGAACTCCCTCTAAGGTGTTTAGATCCTAGCTCATGAGCAAAAGCACGATGGGGGCTGCACTCTGAGAAGAGATTTTATCAAGTGGTACTATGGAGGCGATGAAGGGAATGCAGGAAAGGAGGTAACACACAATCAGAAGGCTATCTGCTGTAATCAAGCCAAGAATAACCATGGGCCTGACTTAGAGCTGTAAGAATAGAGAGGGGAGACCAGGTGGAAGGGAGATTTTGAAGGTAGAATCCACAGGACTTGAGGTTATAAAGGGAGACGATTTCCAGCCTGGTTGCTGATAGGGTGGTGACCCCAGCAGAAACAGAGGTGCCCCCAGATTGACAAAAGTTCATTCCACCCACTTTCAAGAAGAAACCCCTGCCAACCTTCTCTGATGACTGCCCTTGGCCAAAATTCCCTTCCTGCCCTCCAGAGCCTTCTAGGCTTTAGTATCAGCAAACGAACAGAGACTTACATTGTGAGCCAGCACTTCCCAGTCTAAGTTTCTGCATTCTCAGCCTGGGCCAGAAACCAGAGAGCTCCCTGGTCAAGGGGACCCTGGGTCTGAGGCTCCTTTGGGAGTTCAAGGAAGTTTCCAAAATGAATTCAAGGTGTCAGGAACGGACCAAGTGTAATCTAATAAAAATCTAGGTTTCCAAGTCAACCCCAAAAATCTAACTCAACTGACCCCCCCATCTGGTTCTCATTAGTCTGGGTCATTTGTTAAGAAAACAGATTCCTGGGTCCCACTTGACGTTTACTAAAGCAGACTCTCCAGGGCCGTGGGCCAAGAATCAGACATTTAACAGAAGCTTCCCAGATGATTCTTAAGCAGTACATATGATTTGAGAATCATTGGGTGACTGGGTATTCCTCCCCAAACATTACTTCTGTGATGTGCAGTGAGCTCTCCTCACTTCTGAGGGATGGCTGCAAGCTCATTTCTTGGTTACTTCATCATTTGGGAATGCTGTCTCCCCAGGTCAATCATGAGGGCACTGCACATGGGCACACATACAGCCTTGATGCCCAGACTTCCAGAAAACAGGGAGCGCCATTTACCTATCTAAGTAACAGACCTTTGCTCCCTGTACTGGGAATATGGTCATCAAATAGCCACATTGCTCATTTTCAGTAAAGAAGCAGGAATTCTTGAACAACTTATGAACCCAACAAAGGCCTGACAAAGTGCAGAGTTGAATATGAGTAAAACTTACAGACTTGGCTTCTGTGCTATTATCAAGGTAGTCTTCCCTCACAGCTAGGGAGAGTGTCGCCTGGTCCAGCTGTTGAAATAAAAACAAAGTATTGTGCTCACGCTGTCAATTCTTACGTACCATGTCAATGAGAGTCATGAGCTCTGCATCCCAGTCATACTTTGAGCTTGTGTTATCATTATAAAAACAATTCAATATGCTCAGAGCTACATGTAAATAGGCACTTCAGCAATGATAGATATTATCAAGTATCAGAGACCTGTCTCTGCTTCCCCAACTCATGGTTTCTAACCCTTCCAAGGTTCTGTCAATACTAAATAGCATCAAAGCTTTTGGAGTGGGAATAGGTCTTAGAGATTATCTGGTTTCCCCCCTTATTTGATGGGTGGAGAAACAAAAGCCAGAGGAGTGATGTGACTTTTCCAAGGCAACACGGCTGGGCAGAGCTCAGAGGAGAATCGCTGTCTCCCATCGCCAGATCCAGTACTCCTGTCACTGCAGTATTTTGCAAAATGCCAATCTGGATGGAACTGCTTAATGAGATTGTCCACTTCCCCACCCCGAAAATACTGTATTGCATTGATTCATTTTATTTGAAAGGAATCAAATGATAATTTTGAAAAATCTTAGCAAATTTTAGAACCCTCTGTAGAAAGCTTAGGATAGGTGATTAAAAAAACAAATAATAGACAACAAAAATAACTAGGATTTTTATGGAAAAGTATAGCATCATTTTGTGATTTAAAACTTTCAGCACTTTAAAGGCACTCAAAAGGAAGAAGACAGTTGTTTCAAGGTATGTGCTAGAACCAAACAGGACATCCATGTATGAAAAAAATGAACCTCGACTCATAGTTCACACCTCCTACAAAAATGAATTCAAAATGGATCACAGACCTAAATGTAAAACCTAAAAGCTATACAATTTCTAGAATAAAATATAAGGGAAATCTTGTGACCTGAGGTTAGACAAAGAATTCTTAGACACGACACCAAAATCATAATCCATAAAAGAAAAAATAAATGGGATATCATCAATGTTAAAAACTTTTTCTCTGAGAAAGAACATGAAAAAACAAGCTACAGACAGGGAGAGAGTATTTGAAAACTCACATTCAGGATGGGACAAAAGGTTTAAGTTGTTTATATGGAAAATAATACAATAATCAATAAATAATAATACAAGAATAAACTCTGTTTTGCATACTTACAACTGTAAACTTATTGTACTTTTGCCCCATCCTGCATATGGCAAAGGATTTATATCCATAATATATAAAGACCCCTCTCAAAACTCAACAAGAAAACAACAACCCAAATTAAAAGTAGCCAAAAGATCTGAACAGACACTTCACCCATGAAGACATACAAACAGAAAAAAAGCACATGAACAGATGGTCAACATCACTGATCATTAGGAAGATATAAATTAAAACAATAAACACAACTACCCATCTATTAGAATGGCAAAAAAAAAGATAACACCAAGTGTTAGTGAGGATTCAGAAAAACTGGATCACTTGGACATGGTTGGTAGAAATGCAACATGGCAAAGCCCCCTTGGAAACCAACTGACAGTTTCTTATAAAGTTAAACATACACCTACAGATGACTCAGCAATCCCCCCCTACATATTTACCCGAGAGAAAGGAAAACTTATGCCCACACAAAAACCTGCATGTAACTTTACTCATAATCACCAAAAACTGGATACAACCCAATAGTTCTTCAACTGGTGAATAGATAAACAAACTGTGATACGTAATGGCATGCTACTTGGCCATAAAAGGGAACATACCTCTCATACATGCCATGACAGGAGAATTTTTATCACATTCTGGAAAAGACAAAACCACAGGGACAGCACATAGGGATTGGGGATGGGAAACCGGCTGACTGCAAAGAGGCAACACAAGGCAATTTCAGGGGATGATGGACTCTTCTGTTTCTTGATGATGGTGGTGATGGCTGTGCATGTGTCACAACTTACAGACATATGCACCACAAAAACTGAATTTAACTGCATGTATATATATTTTTAAAGATTTTATTTATTTATTTTTAGAGAGGGAAGGGAGGGAGATAGAGAGAGAGAGAAACATCAATGTACGGTTGCTGGGGGTCATGGCCTGCAACCCAGGCATGTGCCCTGACTGGGAATCGAACCTGTGACACTTGGGTTCGCAGCCCGCGCTCAATCCACTGAGCTACGCCAGCCAGCGGCTGCATGTATATTTAAAAATGAAATTTTCAAAAGATCTTTCTCTAAATCTATTGGAGTTTTTTTTCTTGGATATCAACAACTGCCTAAAGGCTCAAAAAAGTGGATCACAACAGCAGGTTGTCACATTTAAATCTGATTCACACATTAAAAAGTTAAGTCAAATTAACGGTATGTAAAATCTAAACAACAAATCAAAATTTAGTAGCATGCTAGTAAAATATTAATTACATTCCCATATCATTAGTTTATACAATGTTATATTCCTTGGATCTATCTCTACTTTCTTATTCATCATAATATAATCTCAAATATTTTCTTTCTTAATACTTAAAATCTGTATAGGATCATAGTTTTCCATGAAAATCCCCTTCATACACAACAAATTCTACAAAGGCCAAGTTAAGAGTTAGCAATGTGCCCTGACTCAATGGATTGGGCGCCAGACTGTGAACCAAAGGGTTGTGGGTTCAATTCCCAGTCAGGGCACATGTCTGGGTTGTGGGCCAGGTCCCCACCATGGGGCGTGCGGGAGGCAACCACATACTGATGTTTCTCGCCCTCTCTTTCTCTTTCCCTTCCCCTCTCTCTAAAAATAAATAAACAAAATCTTTGAGGAAAAGTTAGCGGTGTTATGAAAAATTCAAGGAAAAATATTGTTTTTGTTTCAAGAGCAAAAGAGATGTTTTCGTAACATCCATTTTGTCCATGTGTTCCTAAAATCCTCAAATTATTGTGTTCCATTTTCTTCTCTAATTGGCCCCAAACCCCAAGTCACAAACCAGCCTGGCTTCATCATAATGCAATTCCCAATGTACCACCATTTCTTCCAAAAATTAAGTAAGGCAGGACCACAAAATGCAATATTATGATTAAGATGCTTTGGCTTTCAATTAGATTTGGACCACTTGGAGAATCTTTTGATCTTCAGTCTCACAGGAAAGGAAACTGTGTAGACAATATCAGGAAAGCCAAAGCTTCCCTCTGCTGAAATGAAGTTTAATCCACTTATTATAAAAGTCTCAATGATTCAAATGAAGTTACCAGACTTTTTTAAACCTTCAGATTGTTATGGTTTCTAGGGAACATTTTAAATACACCAAACAGATTGAATAAGGTCTGTCAACTAAATCTCATTAGAAACATACCAAGTCTTGAGGCAAAAGACTTTCTCAAGAGGCCAACATTAGGACACTGTGTTATTTGAGGGGTTTTTTTTTAATCCTTGCATCTGAATATTGCAGGTTAAAAAATAAAATGTGTTTAGGAAACCCAACACATTGAACTGAAACAGGAATTTTTTCTCCAACTGCAATAAACCTCAGGAAACAAAATAATAATACAAAAAGAAACATCTGACAAATTAGGATGCAGCAAAAGGAAAGACAAAAAAATTAGAAAAACTTCATTTCCAAAAGTGTCTCTCCTTGTCATCCTTATGGATTTTGCTATGAGTCACGCAAATATAGGCCACTGAGTAGAGTGGTGATGACTTTAAGTCGCTGTTTCAGTGACACGTATATTTAAGTCTTTTACTGTCCCTTAAATCCTCATTCTTGCTACCCCTTTACATAAAATAAATGCAAACACATATAACAAGGTGTGGTTTGGGGCCTCGACTTCTGTCATTTCCTGCATGTTTCTATTTAAGCCTGTGACAAACCCTGTGCCATCTCACCACAGGGGAAACGGAAGTCTAAGAGCACTGAGGGAGGAGAGTTTGGGGTAAGAGAGACTTCTCGTAGAGCACAAAGAGGATCTCCTAGGCAGCCAAAGAAGTTCAAGCTTCTCCTGAGCAGAGGGACCAGTGAATGTCCGTAGAAAGTGGCAGGATCTGAAAGGGAGCGAGAGGCCCAGGGCCTCAGCAGCAGAAAAGCGCACTTGAAGGGGAAACAAAGGCTGGGATAGTGGGTTTCTTTTCAGAAACAGATACCCGATGATTGGAGGGTCTCCCAGTCCCCAAGAGGAAGGCTGCTAAAAGGGGCAACCAGGACGTAGGGACGTGCCAAGACTGGTTCAATTTCCTATTAAAAGGTGGGTGGGAGCGCAGAGTCAGTAATGACTGAACAAACGAGATGGCCGAGTCCCCACTATACCTTCAAGATGTGTTCATTGGATGCCTTGTCATCGGGGGACACATACAAGCGGATGAACACAGAATTGCTGTATTGGCCACGAAACGTTGCAAGTGTGTGCAGAAGGCTGAACTTTCTCTCTGACCAAACCCCTTCCGGACCAATATTAGACTCGAGCACAGGCCAGCGAAAAGGTGAATGCCGCAGGATGTGTAGCAATGGCTTGGCGTCTGCTTTTTCAATCGCTTCTGAAAGGGAGCAAATATGAAGGGAGAGTTAGAATTGCAAACTGGATCACCAAACTAGAATGTGAGGATATCTTCTCAAGAGAAAATTCCTGTAAGGCCCCAACTTAACATTTCAGCTGGTACAGAGAGGTGCAGTGGACTGAGCCTAAACAGGCATAGAGCCACCTATGAGTCACACCGCAATGTAGCTGTCTAAAGCTGGTGTTCTCGCCAGGAGAGCGAACTAGGGAACCTGCTGGATGTTCCCTGCAATAAAAAATAGGCTCACTACACTGACCCCAGGCAATGAGTGATGTTCGGCTGGTAATACTCTGCAAGACTAAGGAACAACCCTGACTAAAGGAAACTGCTCAATAAAACCAATCACTCCCCAATAAAAGTGAATTAATGCCTCAGATTCTTTCATCATCTTTGACTGCCCGCTTCTAGCTAACAGAATAATGCCCCAAGCCCTAAACAAGTCAACACAGAGGCACTGGCTTCTTCCTGCAATGGCCTTGAGAAAGTGGACCAGGTAAAAGGACAAGTGTCTCTTTTAATTCCAGTCAGACCCAAGATACTGAGACATACCTAAGACACCCAACAAAAATGACTATTAGGCTGGTGGAGAAGCAGAAGGAGACTGGCCTTCCTGGGAATCTGGATTTCTCTAGGCCCCAGGAGGTCACTGGGGGACACAGTAACACTCCCACGGGCCCTCCCTCCCAGGCTCCTTCTCAGACCACACCTGGCCTCTGGATTCTGCATCACAAAAGTGGGGTTTGTCCTTCTGACCCTATCCAAGTTTCTCATGGAGTAACTGATACCCGAAAGAATCCATGCCATAGAAATAGAACTGTTTTCTCCACCAAGCAAGCAAGACAACATTAAGACAGGGCTAGTCAAAATCCGGTTTTTAAAAGTCTTTCCTTTCCTTAAACAAAACCTTTAAACATTAACAGAATTCTTAGTTCTCCTTTACTTTCAATGATATCTTTCAACATTAAAAGAACTCCCAAGAATAAGGGTGGTGAACATGTTATTTGTTTTTCTTCATTACTCACTCTCATTCATGCAAGATGAATAAAGGATTTTGGCTTTCTGGATGGCTTCGATGTCCCGCCTTCTACTGATCGATTTCTCCAAAAGTGCTAGGAAGGTTAAGAAAGGATTCATTAGCACCCGTCCGCATGTGGGGCTGGGTTGGAGGGCATTGATAATCACAGCCCCAGCCTCCAGCCTCCAGCAAATTAAAGGTAAAGACAGGCAACCCTAGAAAAGACACATCTATAAAAGATATGCAGACAGCTGAATCGATGCCAAGTTGCTTGAAGTTCAAATAAAAGCAATTTACCATTCCTTTCTCAAAGGTTCTCCTAACTCAAAGAAACCAAAAGTTCAATTTCCAACTGAGACTGGACCTTCTGCAGGGGTTAATGTTTCCTGCCACCTACACAAAAGGAAACAGAATTCATTTATTCAAGAACCAAAAATAACTGAATTCTATTCCTTGTTTTCTGCACCGAGTAATAGTCTCAACGGAGGCAATTTCATCAGGGTCGGGTTTCTTAAGATTTCTTCACAGCCGAGCCTCTCAGGAAGGTCACCTGGAAGAAATTTCCCATTAGAAGTTTTATTCAATGTTGTATAAACATGCTGTGGACATGGAAGACGTTGTTTAGACAGGAAATGTAGAGGCGAGACTGGGAAGCCTATCCAAATTGCCTGAAAACTTGCCATTTACACATTTGAAGTCCTGACCATTTAAATGAGGCCATGTGTATAAAACGGTCGCCAGCATAGACCTAAGCCTGCCTGGGAAATGATTTCTATTTATAAAAGTCACTGATGCTATTGTTTGAAGGTGGAAAATGACAGCTATCACCACTTCATTAAATAAGGAAAGAGGAAAGCCAAACTTCAATTAAAACCACCCTCCCTGCAAAAGACCACCTTGGTTATACTGGAGAGGACTGAATTACCAGCAGGAAGCCAAGACAAAGTATCCCTGTGCGGCTCCGTGGCACTGCCTCCATCGAGCTCTACTATCTCCTGTTGTCAAGACATTTGAGGTTATTTCTGAAACAACCCAGCAGCCTCCAAACGACGGTACAACAGATGCTCCTACAGTACGCCGAATGGCTTCAAAACACAATGTACAGTGCTAATCAAATTAGGAAATAATGACATAGTCTCTGAAGAGGAACTGACTTCTAAACTAGAAGTTCTGCATTTCCAAAAAAAAAAAAAGCCATCCAGAGCTCCTGTCCAGCTTTTTAAAGTACCCTTACTTCCAACAAGTCTATGTAACTAGATTCAAATAAAATAAATTGAGTTGGATGTGGGCATTTTCTATTCTTTAACATTGTGTGTAGTGCTTATTTCTTGTATATTACACAGAAATAAAAGGAGGACAACTAGCTCTGAGGATAAAGAACAGAGGGTTTTTTAAGAAACAAAAAGCTCTATAGCTATATCCACATATATTTCTATTCAAATCAGATCATGTGCCTTTCCACCATGTTGCTTCCACAGTCACTGATTGGATTGTCGGGAGACACATTTGGAAGTAAACACTCCACATTTCATTTAGAGATGCGACATTATTCCAATGCTATAAACATTCCACAGGCTGCAAACATGAAGGCCCTGAGGACCTAAAACAAGCCACAGCAGCAAAACAACTCAAAGTATGAAATTTCTACCTGCGTGTCCACTGAGGTACTCTGTATCACAAGGAGGAAAAAAGAGGACTTGTATATGCTAAGTAGGGTAATCCCAAAATGCTAACCATGCTAAATATCAACAATGTATAGATGTCAAAATTCTAGTTTCTGTAGCAGAATTTGGCCTTAAGAAAAAATTCAGCTACCACAGGTTATTTGTCTTACCCTTTCCCTCGTCCTCTTTTTCTCTTCGTACCCAAGCAGGCAGGAGAGCATTGATATGCAGACAGTGATGTGTCAGTCAGTTGGCAGCATCCATTTTATGTACCTCTGTATTTGAATTAGTGGAAAGAGAAATAAAATCTAGTGTAGGGAGTCATTAATGAACAGAAAACAAAGCCTGCCTATCAAAGGCAATTACTCAGGTTATTAAAATGTCCCTAAAGCACAGAGATGGCCTCACAGGTCACCCACACAAGGGCATTCCTGTTATAATCAGTGTTATTTCATGGAAGATTTCTCATTTGTCTCCCCACTCCACATCCAGGTATTCCGAACCATGTTACAGGAGAAAAGGAAAACTCCAGTTTATAAAAACCTGTAGTGCACAAATCTCAGACTTTAAAATTGATGTCAAAGTGCTTCTGGGCTATCAAGTCTGAACTTTACATGTATTATGTAAGTATTTTTTCCTCATTATGCCCAATCAAAAACAATTTTTTAAGGACAACGTATCCCCATGTCAAGGGGATGAGCTTTCAAATCGCACAGACACAGATTTCAGCTGCAGCTTGCTGATACTTTCCAGCTGAAACCTGAGCAAGTGATCCCATCTAATCCTCAGTTTCTCCATCTGTAAAGCTGGATAATAACAGTGCCTGCCTCCCAGAGTGGTGGTGAGGATCAAACATTTTAATGCACAGGAAAGTCCCGATTTCAATGCCTGGGCACGTGATAAGTGATCCATCAATGGTGGCTTAAACAGGATTACAGGCGGAGTCAGCCCTACCCAAAATTGTAACTTAAGCTTATTTCTACTGTTTCCTCCATAAACGGTTTTTCCTCTGCCTTTCTTAGGATACTGCAGCCAAAGGCCTTGTGCTAACCCAAGACACTGACACTCGGTATGTAGGACAACACACACTGGACCTGTCCTGCCGTCTTACGAAGTCCCATGCTCCCAACACTTCCCCCTGCCTTCACAACAGAGGCAATGCTCCATGAAGAGAGATATTTTGCAGGCAGGGTTAACCTCTGAGAACATTTTGTTCCTCCTGGAAACGAGACATTTTCCTATTTTATGTAAACTTTTTCAATGACATTACAGAAAAGTACACTGATCATAATTTTTAAGACTTTCACACAGTGAACACACCCACATAATCAACATTATGACCAAAACCCCAGAAGCCCCTGGGGCTATCCCTTCTAATCCCTACCTGCAATCAAGACAACCAACATCCTCTTTTGTGAAGGGCTTACTCAAGTCTATTTCCCACATTTCTATTGGGTAATCTACCTTTTATTGATTTGTAGAAGTTCTTTATAGACAAGGTCTGTCCAGAAAGTATCCAGCCATGCACTATGAAAAATAGACATGTATTGAAGAAGATACAAGATACAGGAAACACTGTACATAGGGCAATGATGCCTCAGCCCCCTTCAAAGTAGGCACCTTGAGACCTCATACAATTCTCCCAGTCACCATCAACTGCCTGATGAGATTTTCCTGAATCTCATTGATGGTCTGATATCTCTTCACTTTTGAAGGTGATTTTACTTTTGGGAAAAGCCAAAAGTCTCAGGGTGCCAAATCTGGGCTGTAGGGAGCCTGAGTCACCTGGGTGATTTGATGTTTCACCAAAAAACTCTGCATGAGACGTGATGCATGAGTGGGCACGTTGTTGTGATGAAGCTGCCAGTCACCAGCTGCCCATAGCTGCAGCCTTCTGAATCATCTGAACAGTTTCTGCTGGGGACTGTTCAAACTTAACACAAAGTTTGATGCAGATTCATTGCTCTGCTCACTCAGTCATTTTGAATGTGATGGCCACACAATGTACACGCTCACTCAATGGCATCTACTGGCGCCACTGACTAGTACAGTGAAGTCATCATTGTTCACACATGCACATTCCAGTCCACTCTCTTTGGCTGCCAGGTTACACTGATGTCACGCAAATCATTCTCATTTTATTAACAATGGCTGGACTTTTTCCAGACAGGCCCCATATTCTACATACAAGCCCTTTGTTGAATATGTGTATTGCAAAATCTTATCCCATTCCATAGACTTCATTTTCTTAATGTATCATGTGATGAACCAAAAGTCTTTATTTTCATGTAGCCCAATTGCCCATTTATTTTCCTTCTATGATTAGCATATTTTGTGTCCTATTTAAGAAATCTTTGCCTGTCCTAAGATCATGAAGACATTCTCTTATATTTCCCCCTAGAATCCTTATTTTTTCAGCCCATGTGAAATTTGGTTTTTTCCTACAGTGTGCACAGCCATGCCTTTGCAACATAAGCCTGGCCTCACAGGGGTGAACTCCATGAGAATTTTAATGAAGAAGGTACTTTTGGTCACCGGGCCTCAAATATTATCACCAAAAATACAGTTGGTGCATAAAATTGGCATTAAGAATGGCTATTTTCTACTAAATTGAGTAGTCTTTGGGCAGCGACTGGGTCACGTTCATCTTTGAATACTCAGGGCCTAATGCTTGGCGTAGTTGATGCTCGATGCACACTTGCCTAGGTGAATTCCTTACAAGAGAGTTTTTAATCACACTGAAAAGGAACTGTGAGAAGTTAGACTGACTTCTTTTATTATTTCTTTTTATAATCAGCAATGTTCTGATTATGCTAACATCCATAATCTCCTTTTCTCACATTTTAGTCTGTGTATCATACAAGGAAATCCAGGATACAGCCTGTTTTCATGAACAACAGTTGTTAAGATGCCTAAGTTTCATTTACCGATGGTCTCAGCTAATCATCTACTTCTATTTCACTCCCAAGCTGGGAGCAGGGGATTCTTAGTATGTGACTTCCTTAAGCACAGAAGCCAGACAGGACTATCAATTCTACTCACTCAATTCACTTCTTCTGCTCAGACAGGCCCTTTATTTAGAGCTCTGGAATAGGGAAAGAGAATTCTCAAGGAAGAAGAATGAGACTCCTGAGGACTTGGCACTTCCCTGATGAGTCAAGAGCTCAGACAGATATTTGAAGTTTCTGCAATATTTAGAGCCTTCCCACTACTACTGTTTTCAAAAACTCCACACGCGTATTGCCTTGACCATGTGGCTCAGTTCGTTAGAGCATCCTCCCATAACGGAAAGGTGGCAGGTTTGATTCCCAGTCGGGACATATACGTAGATTTCGGGTTTGGTCCCCAGTCCAGGTGTGTATAAGAGGCAACCAACTGATGTTTCTCTGTCACATCAATGTTTCTCTCCCTTCCTCTCTCCCTAAAATCA